TTCCTTTTCTGGTGTGTGTGTGAGAACAGAGTATTCATATACATAAAATAAGAAAATCTTAAAAAAAAAAAAAAAAAAAAAAAGAAGGAATGCAGTGGACCCAGAACATCACAAATACAGCATGCTTGTCAGAGTGCTCAGGCAAATCCACATTTTGGATTCTTATCATGCAAATCAATCAGGATGCAAAGCTGCAGCCTCACTTGGCACTCATGCAGTTAAACTCCACCTTCAGGATCTGCACAAGAACTTCTGCAACAGAGAGAAAGGAAGAGGGAGACAGCAACACTTTGGGGGAGTACAAATATTATAATTTGCTTGTTCTATATACTTACCCATAGATGAGATTTATAGGCAAATTGTGAGTTGTATTATACTATATCAAAAGAAGAAAATGGCTTGGCAAGATGATTCAGCTGGTAACAGTGCCTGTCGCCAAGCTTGAGGACCAGAGTTCAGGCCCTGAGACTGACATGACAGGAGGGAATCAGCAGCTGGCCGTTTGTCTTCCAACCTTCTCACGTGCACAAGGACAAGCGTGACCTGCCTGCACACACACAACAGATAATAAATCAACTGTAAAAGCCTTAAAAAAGGAAGCCACACATGTTTAAAGGTGAGCTCATCGTTACTGGTAGAAAGACCTGCACCTGGAGGTGTGGGAGTCAGAGAGAGAGAGAGAGAGAGAGAGAGAGAGAGAGAGAGAGGAAATGCCTATACGGAATGTAACATGTTTTATTCACTTGATTTATATTTATATGGCTGAGAAGTGTTTGTAATCTTTGCAGCCATCCTATTAGCATTTCTTCATGTTTTGTTCTCCATCCTACAAAAGGCATGCTGTTTCGTTTCTAAGCCATCTGGGAACGGGGAAGGAAGGAAGGAGGCTTCACATTCCTCAGATGCATCAGATTTGACATGGCTGTAGCTCTCCACTTCCTCGTGGCTTCCCAGCAGATGTCGCAGTCATGACTTTATTCAGTTACTGTTGGGTGTCTGCAAATCTCTCCTTTTGTAAGTCTTCCCTTTATCTCTGGGAAGAGGCAGTGAAGTTAGCTTTCTGCCAGGTGGCTTTGATTTTTTTTTTTCTCAGTGCCTGGAACATCCACAGAGCTGTGGGGGCAGTCCCATGCGTTTCTCTAGCAAAACAAAGGAGAATACACAGTGAAGAATCAGATCTGAGTCACTGTGTCTCATTCCCAGCACCTTTACGAAAGGTCTAGAGCATGATTAAAGGTTTACAACCCGATCATCTGTGAAGAATACCACTCTAAAGACTTTGGATGCTGAAAAATATATACTGGGAACAAATTTGGTACTGGGAACAAAGAATGCATTCATACAGTGAGAAAAATAGTAAGGCACTCCTCTTGGTGAAAGAAGCTGTGATGATCTGTGAGAACAGACAGGCACAGGGAACAAACTACTGCTTTTAAAGGGCCATGTGCAAGCCTTGAGGGGTGGGTGAGGAGACTGTGCAACCGAAGTCTGTTAGAAAGCCATGCCTCTTCTGGTCACCTGTAGGTTGTGAGAGTGAGGACTGAGGAGCCACCGGATGCTTGTGCCCCACTGTTGTTACTTACTGTTCAAGAGATGTCCGTTGTACAAACTTGGGCAGTCTGCACATAGTGAGACAAGATGAAGATCTGGCTGAGAAGCGTGCAGGTGCAGGTGGAGGAGGTAGGGAGAACTGTGTCCTCTGACGAACGGGTCTCCAGCTGGCTTCTCATTAGCAGCCTGCTCACACCTCATTCCCATTAAGGGTAGTCCGCTTTCTTTGTCTAAAGCCTTGAGTGGTTATGAATAGTAAGGACAGACCATCTGTAATTATTTTTTAATTATTAATGGTTTTGTTAGATCCTTTCACTTTTACATTACATTTCTGTTAATGTAAGTTAAATCAAAATGTACTTCAGTTTCCAAGCTGCTCCCCAATGTATTTTTCATTCTTTCATAACATTACTTCAGCCTTCTATGAGGTGTCTGCGAAAGGGCCTGCCTCCACGGAGCTACTGTGCTAATAGATTGCGGTACTGTCTGCTGCTGCACATCCACTGGCCACGGCGTTAGTTATCACCAAATTGTTAGATCCCGAGTGGTGTCCAGTGTCAGAGTGATGGCGTGTGCAAAAGCTCTTGTCTCTTAGCCACCATCTCAAAGGTGAGCATTTGAGCATCTGGTATTATTTGTGAGCCTTCTGTGAAAGGTCTTTCTAATATTTTACATGTGTGAAAATTTTTCACTTAACTGGAAATTAAATGAGGAGAAAAGAGTGAGTTTGAAAAGAACATACATTAGAGGAAAAAACTGATGTCCAAGTTTGGTGGTCTGCCTAAATACCTGTATGAGTAATTTAATCAGAGTAAATACTTTGTAGTTGGTCCTTAGGAAGATAATGACACTCAAAAGTGCATGGGGAAACCTTGCCCTTGAGAGAAGAAAAAAAAAATCCACCATTTAATCAATTTTTCATCACCAGTACAATGGCTTTTGAGGGCACTTCATTCCCTTGGAGAAGCAGCTCAGGCCTGTTATTTACCATGGGACTTGGTATCAGATCTGGCATTAAGCATCCCACACAAATTCAGCTATAATAGTCCCCTGAACAAAAAGACAAAGAAGAGAGAATGGATGAGATTTTAAATTTTGTTTTACTCTATACAACACTCAGCCTGATGATTGCAGTCTCAGAAGAAATGCTAAATGACTGGTCAGGATTGGCAGGAGCCAAGAGGTCACAGTCTCTGTGAGGTGGAGGAAGCCTAAGGAGCCTTACTTGTAAGGAAGCAGCTATTTCTCCAAAAGTACAGAGTTAACATACAATGAACCGAACACAAAAGCTACTAAAAATGACTGGATAAATTATGCAAAGGGATTTCTGGATTTCTTTCAAGTAATTAAGTTTCGATTTCTTGCATTTATTTTCGTTCCAAGAAGCACAAGACGCCAATGACTGCAAAAGTTTTCATTGATTGTTCCAATACTTTCCGTTTGATTTCGTGACTGGACTTAACTTTGAACAGGGTAAATACACGGAGTGGACTGTGGAAATTCCCTGAGAGAAAAAAAATAGGAGTTTACCTGAAGAGTAAACACAGGGGAACCTTGGTCTCTGCCTGTAAGCTTTCCCAGGAGAGGAGAAAAGGAGAATGTGAGCCTTTGAGTGTGTGTGTGTGTGTGTGTGTGTGTGTGTGTGTGTGTGAGAGAGAGAGAGAGAGAGAGAGAGAGAGAGAGGAGAGAGAGGAGAGAG